CCTAGAGAGCATTGTACAGTATGACAAAAACACTTTTTGGTTTGTTTTTTTTTGGTTTTTTTTGGTTTTTTTTCTGCAAGCAATGCTTTTATTGCTGCACGGAAATCTGTTCCCTTCAGCTCAATCACTCCCACTACACATCTACAGAAGAGGTGGATACTCCCTGTATTATTTAGATGAGAAAACTGAGAAAGTGTGCAGCTTCTCAGAATTAGGAAATGAGTGTTACAGAAATAGCAGCCAGACCTGGGGCTTCTGAGCTTCCAGATATGTTCACCATTCACAGGACTTTTGTCTCAGGTGCAAAATGTTTTTACACATGGACACATTTTGAGGCTAAGCACAAGAAAGTAAATGAGTATGGTACCCTGACTCATGTTGTCACAACAGGAGATATATGAGGCAAGTCACAGAATTCAGCCAATTAAATATGTGTAAGGGAAAAAGGAGAAAAAGGATTCTACCTTAAGTCTGTATTTTCATTCTTTCTGATTATGCTTTCCCAAATAAGTGCTTTAGAAATCAGCTGCTTATGAATTTGGGTKTTTTTTTTTGGTGGTGATTTTATTGTTGTTGTTTTTAAATATTATTTATATATGTACAGTCTTCCTTGCAATATCACCTTAATTTCTTGGGCTATTTTCCATTTTTTTACATGAAGCAGTGAACAGACACAAACATGCCAGTCTCATGGCACAAGCCTAGAGCCAGACCTGTGCAATCTTTACAGTGTAGAAAGCATATCATGGCAACACAGGTGGAAACAACATAGTTGAAATCTCTCTAAGTAATCCAATCAAGAGACAGCATYCTAAAATGGTGTAGTAAAAACTTTCCTTGCATATTAAAAACCAAACTGATATGGGGGAAATCATCAGTTATATYGGAGAAGGTGGGGATTAGTATGAGAATTAAAGAGGCAGTCTGCAGCAGTAAATGACATGTCCTATTTTACATTGCATTCCCTCACATTTTGAAAAACTGTGTCACACMGAACCATACTAGCAAGAAAAGACTGTTCCTATGGCTTGTTACGCTGCTGTTCTAAGTATAAGGAGAAGCAGAGTGCTTAAAGGAATATCATTGTCACCAATGGAGGGAATTCTTATGCTACTTCCACAGCAGTCTTACCGGATGAGCATATCAAATACACTGCTTTTGAATCTGAAGTCTCTTATAATTCGCAAAGGAAGGCCAAAGATACCTTGTGGATCTTAGTGGTTCCTTTGGAGAATAGAGAGGGGGGAAAAAAAAAGTCCAGCTGATGTTCTGATAGTTGTTTGTATTTCTTTCAAAATACAAGACAAGTCCTTGATCTGCCTTTCTGCCAGCGCTATTTGTCCTGATCCCATAATCCACTGGAAGAGGCACAGTGGGAACATGAGGAGCTGCTTCCACAGTTGTACAAACAGACATTGTCCAAAAGCTGCTGCAATTGCAACGTTAGCCTGCAGCTACATCCACCTTCTTCCCTCCTAGCAAGGCCTATGAAATAGCACATAACCTCCATAGCCACCTATCCTGCAAAAAGAAACATGACCTTGTAGAGCACTGACAATTRATTACTTAGGCTTAAAAATACTAAGGATACTAAGGACTGCATCAAGCAARGGGAAAAAAATTCATCTATGTTCAGGAAACTTTAGTGTACTTTCTATGTGTCTTCCTTTGGAATCAGAAGATTTTTGTGTGAATGCAGTCCAAAAGGAGAATGACATGGCTAAATTTGTCCTATTTCTCTCTCAGCAGTGACGTGCCTGCTGTTTCTTAGAAATTACACATCTAACAGAGCTGAAGCCACACTGACTACATGGACTGCATACCTTCCTGGATTTCTCATGTTGTTTGGGCAGCCTAAGAGTCTGTCTTTGTGTGTGGCAATCCATAAAATGGCCTCATTGGGTTTTCTCTAAGTAAGAGAAATTCATCAAAGCACATCTTAAATTACTTATTATGGCATCATCGTGGGCTAAAATGAGAGCCCACATCAGGAATGAAGCTGTRAAGGATGGGAAGGCGTGGGAACTGAAAGATGACACATGGTAAGAGATACCATGTGCCTAAAGAGAAACTGCTATTTCAGTTTTACAAGWTCTAGCCTGCTTGGCATACCCTAGCAAGCATCATGGAGAGCTTGTTTAGGGTGTGTGCAAACCAACTGGGTGATCACGGGGACTACAACAGAACTGCAGCTGACACAGTAATGTGACTAAAATGCATTTCAAYTCTGGTTAACTCTGAAAATAAATAGAAAACTAATGGTTACTTGCAAATTATTTTAGCCTTGTTTTTTCTAAGACAAATAAAGATGGTAAATACACAAGTGATCCCTATGTTCAATGAGATTAGAGATCTTACTTCCTTAGATTCCTGAAAATTTCTCATTAGACTTGTTTGGTATTTCCATGGGAGAAGTACAAGGCCCCCTTTACCAGTTACAAGAAGCCTTCCTGCCTGCCAGTCTGTATTAGGTTCAGTTTTGATTTTCTCCTTGCCATTTCAAAAATAAAGTAATATAAATACAAAGCAAATTAAAAAAAATAAAAGTAGCTTACCCACTGGAAGCAAGCAGTGCTAAAAAGCATCTTAGGCAATTTTATTGTACTCTGTACAAGTTGATGTTCTGACAGTAGATTTTTATGATCTCATATCTAAAGCCTCATAATAATTGTCACTGACTCAAAAGATGGTGAAAACAAAAGGTCTTGATTTTMAAGAGTCATGTAAGGAACAGTGAATAATACTTCCAGTTTCTTGACTGCTACCTTTCGGTTACTGAAGCTCAAATTCATTAAGGTGCTACACTGTTTACATTTTATATGTAAAATAAAAATGTTTTTTTTTGTGACAGAAGGGAGACAAATGCTTTTTACATTTCTTATTYCAGGAGATGCTTGAAGAGTCCTGTAATTATCCTATGTTTTCTAATGCTGATGCTCATTTCTGCACTGGTATTTTATTTCAGCATAGGACTCCAGAGCAAGGGGACCCCAGCTGAGTTTTACAGTACCTGTGGAACAGGCTGATACTGCCACCTTGGGGAGGACTTTTTCCACGTTTGAGGAGCCCGTGCAAGTGCAATATAAATCAGTTCGATCTTTTCCCCTGTCATGTGCTCCCAGGAAGACAACGTTTTTAAATCCTCTGCCCGTGCTGTTGCAAGACCTTCCAGATGTGTTCCTACTTGGATTGTACTACATTCATAACAATCCTGGAAAGAAATCCCTCTTTTTTTTTATTTTTTTTTTTTTTTTTTTTTTTTTTTTTTTTTTTTTTTTTTTTTTTTTTTTTTTTTTTTTAGCCAAGTTTTAGAGCTCATTTAGCTAGTGCCTCATTTACACTACCCTTAATTTAACAGCCATTTTGCCATTACAAAAGCCCTCTTCTGCATCCAGCTAGGCAAGCTGTATTTTGCATACAGCACTCATCCACTTCTGGTATTCTYGCTTTTTTGGTAATCTAAATCCTTGTCCATGCCAGCTTAAATTATCTAGTTAGATGTGACTATTAGACATATATGACTTCAGATGTCATGAGGGGCATTACTGTGCAAAGGAACAATCCAATGAAAAATACAGAGATAGACTGGCAAATTTAAGGAATGCGGATTTTATCTCACAATATCCATAATTTTATGAGACTGGCCTACCCTTTTGCTTTGCAATTGAGTGACCCCTCATCCAAGTCTTGAGTCTGTGTCCACCGGCACTTTATATATAAATGTGCCCCAAGACACAAAGGCTGTGCACAGCATAGAGCTCTAAGGGAGTGGAAACCATCAGTAGTTGCCTCAGGTAATACAGGGAAATACACACATAATACCAGGAAACAGTGTCTGACTTCTCACTTGAATARGCAGGCTCAAGAGCACTTGTCTGTATGCTCTTAAGAACATTCAATAACAAATTTTTTCACAGGCCACCCACAGCCAAGTAACACAAATCATGAACTCATTCATGATGAATGATGTGAATTTACGTGAGGAGCTCCTACCTTCTGCCAAGCACTGGTTGATTCTCCACAGCAGGAGACAGTGGGGTTCCAGAAGAATTCAAGTCCCCCTTCACTGCTGTGGCCGGCAGGAACAGCCCTGGTATTGTAGTAAACCAACACTTACAGGCTCCCACCTTGGATATCCCCAGCAAGAGTGGGCTCTAGAAAACACGTTCCTCTTTTCCTGTCACCACATAGAGCTTACATACCAAATTCATGTTCTCACTGTAATGACCCATATCTTGATACCCTTAGAGTAAACTTGTGCCTGTACCCCCTGGGATTTATAGCCAGAGAGATGGCTTATCCTTGTTAAAGGACAGGCTCATCCTCTCTTCCATTCTGTAGCTAGAACCTGGTCATTAAAACACAAATTCACATTTATTTTCTAACCAGTGACTTTCCCATGTGTGGAAAACAGTCTAAAAAGCAAGTGATYGGTCCTTTCTGGACAATCTTTTATCTCTGGTTTTAATGCTGCTATAGCACAACAAATAACRATCCTTGCAAGAGAAATGTATCAGGCTAACAGCCAACAGCTAATACACAACTGGTAGTTCTGCAAGCCCTCAGTTTTCTGCCTGGTTCACAAATAATTTCTGTMTTTTAATATATTTGTTCCGGTTTCAATCCATCTTTGTTAAGCAAACATCTTCATGTTTGCAAATGATTTTACACTGTGCTACAAAAATATTATAATTCACTGCAAGAGAGAGCACATTTGCTCTTCACATGCATACATGAACACACATTCAAGAACATGCATTACAGACAAATCCCACTATCACTATTATCACTTGCACATTTAATGGCTGGTGGAATTCAAGCAACTTTTAAAAATACCAGCATCATACAATCACTTAAGTGACTTCAAAAACAGTATTTGCAGCTAAGTTACAAAAATTCAACAGTGCCAATTACTGACCAAACATATCCAATTGAATAAGGATCTATCAGTAATTGATTAACCAGATTAATGTGTACGTAACAGTCTCAGCGTGGTACGGTGCTGCTGTTAGTTTCAAAGTTCACATATGAACTTCTTTGTACACTGCACATGTGGTTTATGAACAAAGTCTGAATGAAAGAAGAATTTAAGGGAAAATAAGGTAAGTGACACAAKATGAAATTAATCCAAATATTTAAGCATGGACTGCTTGCAGGGAAAATAGAACAAATCTTTGATTATGATTTAAAATATGGACAAATCCATGTCCACTACTTCATATTATTTATTATGCTACAAAGTATACAATGCATATCTAGACTGATGTATAACTGAAGACAACAATTTCATAAGTTTTTTTTTAGAGGAAATTGATCATTAAAAAAATCCACAAAATCCTCATTGTGAATTCAGTAAGGAAGATTATAATGTAYAGTATTCAATGCTGCCTGTAACAAAATTAGTATATTACTAGCTCTTGTGCCTTTGGTGTTGAAGTTATTTCAAAGATTGACTCAGCCATGGAATTAATATGAGAGAGAAAGCTTAAATTGACAGTAAGAATGTAAATGAATTAATCCCAGGAAATCCCAGTCTAAAATTATCCATGATCTCTTTATGAATACCTAAACATAGTATCTTAASAAAAAGAAAATTTCTTTCTGAATTTCACATGTCTCAGAAACTTAAAATCCACTATTTGCCACTACAGTTTTACCTTCTGAAACTCCTCTCAATTTATTTAAATAACCAGTCTTCCTGTTAGAATGCCTAACATGCACCAAAACTCCTTCAGACACTGAATCAGAGAAAAGCACAAAGAGAATGAGAAGTCTTATTTATGAACAATAAGAGTAACTGGAAGATACCAAGCCAACTCCCCTCTCCATCCACCAGGCTATGCTTTTCTTTCCTACTAACTAAGTTGGTTTAGAATACATTTCCAAAATCTCGTTTTCATCAGATTGGCTATTTCAGCTCTTCTCCTTTTTTTTTTTTTTTTTTTTTAATTGACATATTTATCTGCCCAGAAAGCCCTTTCAGAAAGCCCTTTCAGAATACTGTCTATTTCAATGTCAGTGGTAGCTGATGAAAGACATATTCTAAGCTGTTCTCTGCTGTGAAAAAGTGCTCCCTTAAAATCTACTTCTCCTTATTATTAATTTTTTTTCCTAAAATATGGATTTACATCCTGACATATCATCACTTAAAAACAGCAGCATCCATTTGTCACCATTCTCTTCGTCCCTCCCTAGCTCACCTCCTTTTCCTAACCCACTATTCTCCCAAAACAGCAATGCTGTTTTCCACAGTTGTTTCCCAGCTCCTCCCTTCTCTGTTCTCTCTCCTTAGCTCAGTTTTGTTTCTTCCTAAAACACTTTTCTTATTTCAGGCAGGAAAAAAACACTCAAAAGAATTTTGAATTTTGGAAATATCACCTGTTTTMCCCCAAAGTTACCCCAAACGTCTTATGTCATTTGTACTTAGTGCCAGGTTTGTGGATAAAAGCACAATGTCAGACAGTGAAGAGATGATCATAAACCTTGTTGTCCTTGGAAAAGCTCAGACTGGCAAAAGTGCTGCTGGGAACAGCCTGTTGGGCAGCTCAGACTTTGAGAGCCGTCTGTCCCCGAGCTCTGTGACTACGTGCTGCAGCCTCGGACGCAGCCGCCGCATTTTGGGGCTCGTACGAAGAAATGGCTGCGAGTCAGCTCTTCGTGTTCGAGTACTGGACACTCCAAGCTACCCTCACAGTGGCYTGAGCAAAGAGCAAGTGAGAGATGCAGTGAGAGCAGCCCTGGCTCACCACTTCGGGGAGGAAGGCCTGCACTTGGCTCTCTTGGTCCTGAGGGCTGACCTGCCTCTGTGTCCAGAGGAAAGCGAKGACACACTTCAGTTCATCCAGGTAAGCGAATGATGTCTCTGCCCCAAGCACAACTCTTTCATCTTCAGGTGACAATAGCTATGGAAGTTGATTGCAAAAATAATATTTTTTTTTCCCCAACAACAGCCTAGTGAGAGTGGGAGATAATAATTTCAGAATAAATATTGTAATGGATTTGCGTCCTCAGTAAATCAAAGCTCTATCCTTTCTTTCTGAAACTGGTAACCCAAGGCTTCCTTAGGCAGCTTAAGGCAAAATTTGGTGTGCGTTTAGTATATTTTTCCCTAGTGTCTAAACCGSATTAATCCCTGTCAATACACCAGGTATTTTAACACTCCACTTATCTCGGAAGTAGACAGATCTCCTTTAAAGTACTTTTATATACCTTAGCATTTAGGTTATAGAGTCARGATCAGTGCAGTGTCCTCTATTACCAACGTAGGCTTCTTGTCATACACAGCAGTTAGCAGGAATGCACGGAAGTTGTAATTTCATTTACACCTGTAAATTAAAACCTAACCTCTCTTATTCCCATTAAAATTTTCTACACTTACGGCAAGAAAAGCAGCTGGTTCTCTCCATTCCCCTCCATCAGATAAATCACAACAGTTGAAGACAAACTCTCTGGCCCATTATTTAGGGTGGTGCATTTGATTTGTGTTTTTCCTGAATTGCTGAGAATAGTTCAGTTTTATGGATTACAGCTGGAACTGAAGTTGGTGTTACATAGAAATYAATCATACTTTTCCAACAAAAGGCGATTCAGTATTTTCCAAAAAATCTTTTTCAAAGAGCTGTAAACAGTATAGAAATACAGGTATGTGKTAACTACTGACTTCAATCTAATGTGTGACATGGATAAGCAACCATTCTCCCTTATTTACATGAATATTTTTTAACTGGAGACATTCTGTTAACATCTGTAGTCAGGGAACAGAGAATTGCTAGAGCTGCATGACCACATATATCCACTAAAAGTGGGTGTCATTGTCTCAGTAAGGTGAAAAATGCCTCAGAAATTTCAGCAACTCGGATAGCATGAACTGGATTACTGCCAGGAAAAAGATACATGTAACTGGTCTGTTAATGTACTAAGTATATRAAATAGGAGTAGGGAAAAGAAATAAAAGATAACTACGATTTGCTTTTCATTACAGGAACTTCTGGGTCCCACATGGAAGGATTTCACTGCAGTTTTACTTACTCATGCAGACAAGGCAGAAGAGGCTGGATACAGTGAGGAAACATACTTGCACAGTGCCTCAAATACCCTGCTGTCACTTTTGAGCTCAGTACAGCATAAATATATTTTCCTACACAACCACAACAGCATCATTAAAGAGAAAAGAAATATTGTCTTAAGAAAGCTSTTGAATTTTATACAAAAAAATAATTATCAAGTACTACTTAAACACAGCAAAGAATAAAATTAGTTTTCAGCTGCTCATTTGCCTATTTTCTACAGTAGGTAACAACTAATAGAAATAAAAGAGTACAAGCCATCGATTGGAAAACTCCATATGCATACCAAATACCTTTGAATACACAATTAGAAAWATCTGTTTAGATTACCAAAATAGTTGCCTTTCATAGAGTACCTCACACTACTGCATCCAGAATCCTAACTTCAACCACAAAATCAGAACAAGCTAGTGCTCCAAAATCATGCTCCAAATGTGTATATCGTTACAAATGAGATTTTACACTACACCAGACTGTAAATTCCAGTTCACACAAAGACAGATCTGGAA